GCCTCCCTTGGCACGTGGCCGCGGGCCTGCGTCTGTCCCCCTAAGGCCAGAAGTGGGCAGCGAGGGGAGCTGCTGGGAAGAAGGGGCGTGTCTGGATGGCACTCATCCCAGACTCCCCCCTAAGCAGAGGTGGGGTTCACCCGATGACCCCGCCTCTCCAGTCCCCCGGATCGTCCGCGCCGTGACTGTTGACTCTTAGTGATAAGGCTCCTGTCTGCTGCGGGGTGTGTTCGCGGTGGCGGACGTGAATACCTTGGCGTACGTGCCCTGACGCAGCTTCCTTACAGATTCCCCGGTGACCCCGTGGGGCGCGGGAGCACCAACCCGACCCACCCTGCTTTTCCGGGGGTGCTTCCTGCTTTGCATTTCGAGAAGTTTGGGTTGCCCCCCCCCACGGCACTCCCACTCCTCCACCACTTGTGGGAGGGATAGCTATTTTATCCTCTCTTCTGGTCACAGCCTTCACAGGGGCACACTGGCGCTTCTGTCACCCCCTCATGGCACAACATCACCTCTGTCGGCCTTTAGGGTCTTCGATCACAAGGTCTCCTTCCAGGGGTGAACTACAGGCAGCCACATTTATGTGAGCCTGACCCTCCCGCCCAGCGCTCAGAAATGCAGTTTCTCCGCGGTTGGCACAAGTCCCGTGTCCACCAGAGAAGCCAGGGTTCACCTCCTCCGTGTACTCGTCTCATTCGCCACTGGAGAGAATATTCTGCTCTTCCCCCATGGGTCCTTCACAGCATGACCTGATACTCAGAGTTCAATGACTGACCTACATGAAGCTTTACTCCAAATAAAGCCTTTCTGTTGACAGCAGGCTCTGTTCCAAGTAAACATTATCCCGAAGAGAACTGTCTCCAGGACTCGGGGGGAAACCAAGGAAGGGAGTCCTTGAAGAAGGATGTTTGTTCTCGGCCAGCTCGTGGAGTGGAATGAGAGAACCCCTGCAGGTTTCATTGTTAGTTTGTTTCATTGTTACACTCTTGTCTCATTCCGAAAAAGATCAGATAAGCTCTCTTCTCCCTCCCTCCTCCCCAAGCCCTGAACTTTAATCATTCCTAAAAAAAAAAACCTCTGCTTTTGGCTTGGAAATGAATAAAAATGTCTTACTGAAAAGAAGCCACAGAGGGAGGGGCAGAGATAAATTAGGAGTTTGGGATTAACACATAAAGACTATGATATATAAAATAGATAAACAACAAGGGCCTATTGTATAGCACAGGGAACCATATTCAATATCTTATAATAATCTATGATGGAAAAGAACTTGAAAATCTGAAAAAAAATATTTGAATCAGTTTGCTGTACACCTGAAACTAACACAACATTGTAAATTAACTATAATTCAATTTTTAAAAAGCCACAGAATCCATTAGCAGAACCTTCTAATTCTAGCCCCATTCATTGCCTTAGCCTTGTAAAACATGATCTTGTCTTTTAATGATCCCTGAGGATCCTTAACAAGCCTGCCAAAACCTCCTTGATCCAAGGGTTCCCCCCGATATCAGGTGAGCCTCCAAATTCAGGGAGCCTGTTGCACATTCCCTTCTCACCTCCAGGAAAAATCTCTCTATCCTGAGAACTTGAGGAAATTCATCATTTAAAGTCTTTTCTAAAAATTAGTGTTAAAATGATGAAGAACTTAAAAGAAGTCAGGCAATATAGGCCGATGGAAGTTTTGAAGCTGTGTGGGCTTGTGCAAGTTTCTTAATTGTCTGGGCCATTTTCACTACTGGAAAAGGAAAATAATAATAGTGCCTCTTCATAGGGTTGTGAAGATTAAAAGGGTTAATAGGTGTAAAGTGATTATAACAGGGCCTGGCACAGAGCACACACTCAATAAATGTTAGCCCCCAGAGGGCCTAATATTAGCATCAGTGTATTCGTATTCGTCTTTGTGATACAGCGCATACATAGCAGTATCACAGTTGGAGCCACGGACGACACTCTCACACAAGAAGAGCTGTGCCTGAGTGCTGCTCCCTTCCCAGTTTCTGGCTTATCCTGTCTTCAGATTCTGAAGCATGTAGCATATGACAGCAAGCCAAGCAGTCAAAATAAGAGAGGCCTTTTTTGCGGGGAGGGTAATAGCTCAGTGGTAGAGCGCATGCTTAGCATGCAGGAGTCCTCGTGTTCAATCCCCAGTATATTCAAAAAAGAGAGGAGGAGGCCTTTTGGAGATCACTTGACAGCACTAACACAGTCCCTGCTGTTTGCATTTCTCTGTCATTCATAACTGCAAGAAAAACCTGAGAGCAGCAGAAATATATCAGTTGTGCCTGTGGCCCAGTCATTCCCCTAACCCAAGGCAGATAAGAAGAATTACGTCACTGCCCCGGGAGGGCAGTCAATGGAACTACAAAGCCAGCAGCTGAGAAGCACAGGCGGGAGGTCTACCTGTCCCAGGTGCCCTGCCCTGGCCGAGAACCTGACTATAAGAAAGGCTAAGGATGTCAACCAAGTGCAATTAAGGAAAATGTTCTAACTATAATTATACACATACAGTTATGTGTATATGTATAGTTTTTTGTGTGTAATACACACACACACATTTATATATATATAGGTTATACATACATAATCTAATTGCCAAAAATCGACTGCATCTTACAGTTGCTATAAATTATGAGGTTTCAGTAGTTTTAGTTTATTGATCTCTGTCTGCCCAGCCCTGTGCTGAGCACTTTGTAGTTATTATCTTGTTTCATTCTTACAACAGCCCCATAAAATAATACAGACAGACCTGGGAGATATACCACTCTCATAAAGCGAATATCACAAAAAAGTGAGTCACATGAAGTTTTTTGCTTTCCCGGTGCACATACAAGTTATGTTTACACCATTAGTGCACAATAGCATAATGTCTAAAATCACAATGTACATAGCAAAATTAAAAATACTTCATTGCTAAAAAATGCCAACCATTGTCTGAGCCATCAGTGAGTTGTAGCAGTAACATCAAAGATCACTGATCACAGATCACCATAACAAATATAATAATAAAGAAAACGTTTGAATTGTATGAATTACCGAAATAGGACACAGAGACGTGAGGTGAGCAGATGCTGTTGGGAAAATGGTGCTGATAGGCTTATTCGATGCAGGTTGCTAC